TTTTCCTGAAATGTTAGTGCACACAAGAGCAAAAATAACTCTTCCAAAAAATGTTAGGAGATAACTATACATAAAATAATAATATTTGAAATCATCAAAACTATACAAGTTGCAAAAATGTAAAACATGCAAATAACAACTCTCTTAATAGTTTATTCCACCGACCGTTCCGACGGATAGTCCGTCATTAAAAAGACGGTGCATAACCATCAGATATGATCCGCCAGAAATGTTATATCGTTGTACTGGCAGACCGACCGGCGGAAGTTCGACAAGAAAGCTGGAGAATAGAAAAAAAAAACTTCCTTTTAAAATTGATTTCCACAAAAAAATACCTACATAAAAAACACATATAAACAACACAATTTACATCAACATAATTTGTATTTATACATCAAATTCAGATAAGGAACATCATCAATTACATAATCAAACATGTCCAAACAATAATTAACTAAACATGTAGACAATAAACAGAAACAAAGATGTTCAAACAACACATATATTAAACTTGATATAAAACATATAGAAACATATGTCCACATCAGTAAAATAGATAAATAACATCTACTCTGATTCAGTTTCTTCCTCAACTGATGCTGTACTCCTCCCATTACTCAGTTGCTCCCTCATCTTTCGCATTTCTTTTAACATTTGAGCTTGTTGTTCATGCATATGCATCTGCTGCTGCTGCTGCATTTGCATCTGCCAATCAGTTTGTGCTTTTTCCTTATCTGTTATAGCTCAGTTGTAAGGGCAACTATCTGTTGGGTATATAAAGAGCCATGTGTACTAGATGAAAAACTGGAGCCACTAGATGTCTGCCCTTCATATGCATAAGCTTGCGAGCCTAACCCGTATACTCTGCCATGCTGCATTCCTCCTACCGCTTGCTGCCAAGTGCGATAGTCAGAATATTCTGTTAGTCCAGCAGAAGAACCTTCACCTACTGAAGCCTGACTTTCTCGAATCCGTGTATACTCCTCCTATGAAAGTCAATAAAAATTTAAGCATTTTATACATAACAACACAAAAATTAAACTTACATACTTACATAAGCTTTTCTCGCTCGCTCGTCAACTCATTGCTGGTCCTCTTGCCGCTTATGGGTATGACTATGCAATTCAACAGGAGTCGATTATCTACCAGCACCTTTTTTGTGAAAAAACATATGTTAGTATTCTAATTAAGGAAAATTATTATATATTTTAAATTATAAGAATCGAAATGTGGTTCATACTCACCATGTTAAGTCCAATACCAATATTTTGGCATGAAGCCTCGATGATATAGATCAACAGTAACGTCATCTAGGCGTAGGTGCACCTAATTTTTATGTTTAGAACATGGACAACGAAATTTTCCATCTAAGATGAAACTAGGTAGTTGACAAGCTGTCTGAATAAAAATATTCACCCCTCTAATGAACTCATCTATTAATGTCTTTCGTCCTTGTGCCAATCGGTTATACATCCAACTTCTTTGAGTTCTGATATCCATAATATAACCTACATATAATTTAGATATATTAGATAAGGTTGTAACATTTTTTGGAACTAATATATCAACATCCGTCTGAGATCTCAGGATGGACATCTCTGTAATCAACAAGCATAATTAGAGATCATAATTTTATATGCATATCACTAGTTAATTCCCACAGATTATGCATATCATGCTTTGTTGCTCATTGTTTTGCGGGGTAGACGTCATAGAAGAAAGGCATGAACCAACATCAACAACAACAACATCAAGCCTTTGTCCCACTACGTGGAGTCGGCTACATGAATCCTTTTTCGCCATTGTGTCCGGTTAAAAGTCAAATTCTCATCTAAATCTAATAAAGAAAGATCTTTTCTAATATTTTCTAACCAAGTATTTTTAGGTCTACCTCTACCTTTCTTAACATAAGCCAAATCTAATACCTCAACTTTCTTAACCGAGTCATCGGAAGGCCTCCATTTAATGTGACCAAACCATCTAAGGTGACTCTCTCTAATCTTATCTTCCACTACAGCTACTCCAACATTTTCAAGTATATGCTCATTTCTTTTATAACAAATGTGCAAGAAAGAAAGTTACTTGCACAGCAAGCGAGCTCCCCTTAAAATGTCGTAACAACCGTTCCAACAAACGAAGTCGAAGAAGTTACCTGTACATAGAAAACGAGCGATAATATGAAAGTTAGGTCGTCGAAGTAGCGAACTCAAATAGAGTAAAAGAGAGGAAGTAACCTGAACACGGTCGAAGGAGCAAGGATTGGAGCGTTCGGTCGAAGAAGCGAGGATTGGAGCGTTCGGTCGAAGGAGCGAAGGAGCGAAGTCGAACAACTAATTGAAGGAACTAAAGAGTGAAGTCGAACACCATCAGAGGTGTAGAACGCAAGGAGCGAAGTCAAACGTCGACCAAGGAGCGAAGTAGAACAACTACAGTAGTCGAACGCAAGGAGCGAAGTCGAATGCCAACCAAGGAGCGAAGTCGAACACCGTCGGAGCAGTCGAACCGTGATGAAGCAGCGAAGGCGTTGGATCGAACGGAGTGAAGTCGAATAGCCAGTGAACAGTGGCCAAGGGGTCGGAGCGAAGTCGAACACCTGCCGTCGTCGGAGCGAAGTCGAAATGGTGGTTGTTGGAACGAAGTCGAATAGCGGCGAAGGGGCTGGAGCGAAAACACAGAAATGAGAAATGAGAAGGCAGCCCTAGAGCTCGCCCTATATATGATATTTACTGGCAGATTTTCGGCAGAGTATCCGACGGTATTTTTACCGGTGTTTAATCCGTCGGTTGTATTTCAACGTGTTTAAGTTGAGCCGACGCAATAACCGCCGGTTCTTACCGGTGGATCCTGTGCCGGTTAATTTATAAAACAGGCACATGACCCGTCAATTATCCACTGGTAACTTTACGGCAGTTAGGCCGCCTGAACGTCTGCCGTAAAACTTCCGTCACACAAGTTTCACCAGTAACATCATCACCATTTCTGGCGATCATAATTCCGCCGGAAAAATCCGGCGGTAATCAGACATTTTCATGTAGTGATGATATCCATGTTCTGTGCCTACTCCAAGAGGGAGTAAAAAAATTCAAGGATCTCTGCTTCACCATGTCAGTGGAAAGATTTTTTAAGGGCTTCTCTACCTTACTGTGGGAGAAAAATGAGAGTAACTTTAGTTTAGTGAATTACTTGGAGAGAGAGAGAGTCTCCAACGAATCGACGTAGGTCAGATTTGACCGAACTACTACAAAATTCAGTGTATTCTTTCTTATTCCTTTCACTGCATTTTATTTATGTACTTTTCTATGATTTATTTTGTGATTGAAAAATCTGATTGTATTATTATTGTGAAATTAGCTTTTTTCGACATCAAGAGTTGTTGTTTTATTTTAAAATATTTAAAAAGATCAAAAAGATTTTCTTTTTGTTTAAGATTTTTTAAAACTACTAATTCACTCGCTTCTCTTGGTTAGCCTCGACTAGTTCTTTAGGGTTTAACACCCCTCACAAACTTTCAGTTTGATGACTATCAACATTTGTGCAGAAGTCGGGCATCAATCAATGGTCGGGCATAATTTCAATGTAAGCTAGTGGCCAGGCAGATGTCCGACGTCTGTCTAAGGCCGGGCAGTAGTCTAGTGACAGCCGGTGGCCGGGCAGAAGTCCGTTGACGGAGGAGCTTGGGGGCAAGAGATATTTCATATTTATCTTTCTTTTTCTTTTTTTCTTCCTACCTTTGTGAAGAATGGGAGTCTATTTATAATTTTTTTGGAGTGGCACGACTAGTAAATAGGGAGAAGATCAAGGGCATGTTGGAGGAGTGTCTTTGATGGATGACCATTATTGATTCCCTTGATTATAGATCATTTATCAAACAATTGAGTATCTTAATGATGTCAGAATTAGGCAACCTTGGGCTTTGTTGGATTCATCTCATTGAGCCGCTCGATTCAACTATAAGCATGTCACATTTGAAAATCATTTGGTCATCCAATTTATGCTTTGGAGCTCCAAACATGTTTCGGGTCCCGATTTGAATCCATTTGGGCTCAAATTGGATAGAATTTGGTATCATTGGGTTCGTCTTTTCGAGATGTTCAGTTCAACTATAAGTTTGTTGAAATCGGAGTTTAGATGTTCCCAAAATTGATTTAAAAAGTTTTTTATTCAACTTTGTATTGAGATTCGTGCCCGATCAAGATAATTTTTTGATGATATATCAAGGGCCTCTTACATTGTAGTAATTATTTTAAAGATTTTACTAATTTCAAGTATGATAAAACATTAGTGACTCTAACGGTCTATGTTTCGATGTAACATCATGCTTTTTCTTATCGCACTATAATCTACTTTATGATCATTGATTAGTTTTTAGTCTTTTTTTATTTTATTTTTTTTAATTTTAGGGTTAAGAAGATTTGAGTTTATATCTGGGGAATATTTTGTGTTAAATCATGATAATGTATCTTCTATGTCTATGATTATTTCATGATGTATGATCACTTGTAGGTTAATCATAATGATATGTCTTGTATAACTTGTAATCTATTTATGCATTTTGATTATCAAATAATGTTTCACTTCAACTTATGTTACTTATATTATATCTTTAATATTTGAGGTTAATCTTTTCGTATATTCGTCTCATTTGTATAGCTTCAAGTCCTGATGGAAGAAAATAGAATATTACAATTACCATTCTAATTTATTCTTACGACTACAGATAAAAAGTTAGCTACCCAAATATTACTATTACGAGTGTTTACTTTTTAAATTATTGAAATTATTTATATTTTATAATTCATGATACAATTCTATTTATTTAGGGTTTATAAAATATTTATATATAATTACATCATTATTATATAATTTGCATTATATATAAATAATTTAATATTTATTATATTATTTGATTCAATGTCCGATTCAAGCTGAATTGACTATTGAATCGTAAATCTCTGGTTTCATATCATATCCAATTTTCAATACCTTGACAATTACATGTCTAACTTCGTTTCATTTAGAAATCACTCATATTAGGCGATTACTAAAACTTGTGTACCTACTCTCAATTCCTGTGGTTGCTGCCCACCGCCGGTTGTTGCAAACACGTGTCACCTCACACCAACACATCCATATTTTAATACATTTAAATGTATTATAATATAAAAAACATATCAATGCATTTAATTTGCATCGAACTAAATAACTATTGTATTTTTAAAGTACATTTATTTTGAAAACATCCTAGATCTGATTCTTTTGATTATCACATGCAACGATGACAGAGATGGAGGGTCGATATGGCTCCGTACCATTTCAGTGACTGCTGGACTGAATGGAGACCAAACGAGAACTTTCCTGTCATTGCTTCCAGTGTAAATTTCCTACATAACGGTAAAAAAAAAAAAAAAAAGAATAGTATTGTAACGAATCTGTTACAATATCCTAAGCAAATGCAGGTAGACTCTGAATACCTGATCATGATAATTAAAATAGCAGCAGTTTACTGATTCATAATGGCCACGTAATGTCTGAAATGTAACACCCGACCAAACATGATATGCCTACGAGATCAAACAAAAAAATAATACAAGTAATCAGACAGTTCCGGTAATGATTTTTCAGAAAGATCAAAAATAAATTTTGGTCAGTATAAGGAACCTTGACAGAACTCATGCATGGAACAAACACAAGAGATGAGTCATGTGATATGGCCAATTGTAATGGTTTGCTTGTCTGGAGTCTCATAGCTTCAAAATTCACTAATGTATTGCATCCAGATTCGACATCCCATAACCGCAGCCGTGAATCAGAACCTGATATTTAGTACAGAAATATTTAACCTCTACAGTGAAAAATCAGGAGTCCAAGATGGTTATCACATGCATATATAAAAATGTATAATATTCAGATACACATTATTTATCAAAATATTTTGGCAATTAGTTTGTCTGGTGAAGATACAAATCTAAAAAATTAAAAAGGTAAAGTTACTTTAGAGTGAATACAGGCAAAACATACATATAAAACTTGGATAATTGCATCTGGATGAGGTTGGACGACAGTCCAACAATAGTTAGATCACCTCAATTATGAACATACGTAATAAAATTATCTTTTTTGCAATGGAAACGTAAGATGGCATCCACCACTCTCTAAGACCATATTTGGCATAGTGTGGCAACCTTCCCATGCATATGGATAATAGTAGCTTATACACTAAATTCTTTATGAAGAATTCAACATCAAACTGTGCATAATGGTTTTCATTATTCAAGTTTTTTTTTTTTTTTTTTAACTAGCTATTTTGCAAAACTTCCAAGCATTTATACCTCTCACATGATCATTAGCATAACATTAACTGAATGAATTCCACTTATTAATTTAACAGTTGGATAATGCAACGCATCTGCTCCAAGCTTAACCTCCTTTTTTACATCAATTGGAGCAGCAAGCATAATGGCTGGACGTAGCAACTTTCATTCATGCTAGTAATCAAATAACCTTTGCCTTTGTCTTGATCAAACTTGGTTACACCAGATGTTCAAAGTAACACTAAAAAAGTTGGAATAAGCTGTGATGATGTGGGCTCCGAAAATTCAGCATCGGCCTCCACCCGCTTTTTGTTTGCTTTTATCTTTGGCGAGGGAGTTTTAACGGAATAAGTTCCGGGGTAACTTTTGGAAGGCAGATGGGTTTGTAGATAAGACACTTCCCAGAGATTTCGCCCTCATTTTGCGAGGACTTTATGATCTGAGTTCAGGTTTCCTATAGGCGCAAGCCCCTATAGTTAATTACCACTCTTGATAACGAGAGAGAACTTTCGATTAAGGCTAGCCGTCAATCAGATACGTAGAAATACGTGTTATCTAGAATATAGTAGCAGCAATGGATATATAGAAAATTGTTGGAAAATTGGGGAGTTTGAAGATTTAATATTTAAAATTGGAAATTTCACTACCTTGCACTTAAAGTGGATGGTGGGGGAATGAATGATGGACCCGATCAAGATCACATGGTTCCGTCGTCCCGGGCCATCGTGCTCCCTGGTCTACTTAGTCAGAGGTGGTAGTCTACCCAGCCTAACAGAAGGATCCTTGTCGGCAGCCATGGGTTGCTTCGTCCAAGGGGATCTTGTAGACCTGGGATGGGTATTTGTCTGAGGGGACAAAATTTGAATCCACCTTAGCTAACAGAGGGATTTATGCCCTATATATTATATCCCATCGATTCATATCTAAGGGATTTGATGCCAATAAGGAGCGTATCGGTTCTGGTCATAACCGATATTTCATGGTGCCATTTGGCGGCAAAACCACTCGGTTCATAGGGCCCCAGGTCATAACCGTTTATCCTGCGGTGCCATTTGGCGGCAAAATCGCTGGTCAGAGGACACGTACCACGTCCTTATTGGCAGGAGATTGTTTGAGAATGGATCCTAGTGATATTTTCGACTAGGCATTTGCTCTATGTGAGCTTAAGTAAATTTCATTTGTCCACCTCGACAAACTATTGCGGAGGGTGAATGAAGTTTGCTTTAAGTGTTTGATAGTTGGATTTCAATTTTAAATATTTTTGGATTTGGAATTTTTTGAATTTTGAGATTTTGTGGATATCGTTTTGAAGTAATTGAAATGAATTTTTGGAGGCATTTGAAAATATTTGGAATGGACCCCTCCGGTTGAGATTTACATTCAACACGGCCATCATCGGAGTGCTTGGGTTCATTTCCATTTTAAGTTTGATCCTTGTCGACCCTATCAATTTACCGATAGGGGATCGGGTCTCGTAGGCTTTATGCCCTTTATTAGTGAATTCTCTCGATTATAAACCTTGAAGGCTTAATATGAATGTATTTAAACAAATACATCGGTCGTCACAACCGTGTATTTGTTCGAAGGTTCGAACCCTGTCGACTCCTATTAATCGCATAGAAGGATCAGGCTTGAACTTGAATTCACTTATTGACCCACATGGCATCCCTAGACGTTACGTGTGTACCAATTACACGCTCGTCGGGGCCCATGCGGGTGTTTGGGGGGCAATTTGTAATTATACAATGTCTACTCCTTTTATCTGTTTAGGATGACCGGGTTCGAATTTAATAACCCGCGCAGCATCTCTAGACGTCACGTGTGTACCAATAATACGCTCGTCGAGGCCATGCGGGTGTTTAATTATATTTATCCCTTTGTGTACCTATGTGTATACAAACTATAGTGTACGTGTGGGGGTATTCTGAAAATATTTGTAAACGCCTTCTGCCCGCTTGTGTGAATGTTGTGGATCCGATGGCATTGCGTAGCAGCTTTTGAATTGAGTTGTTTGCTGCTTCGTACAGGTAGACTGTCGTGCACCACTTATATGGTTCATGCAGGTAGATTGTCTGCTTGTGTGAATGTTGCGGATCCGGTGGCGATGCGTAGCAGCTTCAGAATTGAGTTGTTTGCTACTTCGTACAGGTAGACTATCATGCACCACTTACATGATTCATGCAGGTAGATTGTAGTGCACTAACTAATCTCCTGCTTTTGTGTTGTAGGATCTTGCACTTGTCATATCCTTCATGCATTTTATCGTGGTCTTTGAACTTTTTAGTACATCTGCTACTGTTTTTGGTGTTATATAAGGGCTCTTGCATTTATCACAGTTCTTCTATATTTTTCTGTAAATAGTGTATTGCGTATATGAAGAGTCTTTTATAATGATTTGAAGGAGTTTGCATTTGTTATATTTCTCACCATCCATTTCTTCATATGTGTTGGTTGTTGTCATTTGAGGGAGTTTAGTGTATTTGTTTACACTTGAGTGACATCAGTTGTGTATGAGTCTTTGTGTTCTATCCATGAACACACTAATACACTATTGTAATCAAGTTGTTTGCCCTCGATGTTTGCAAGCATGCTGCATTTATTGTGTATAACAAATAGCAAATCACTATGCCCACTATATTCCTTGAAGGCTCATGACATGAATAACAACATTATCATTATTTCTACTTAACATCAGCATCTGGATCGGCATAGTCATTGTGGACGGATTGTATCATTCATTGGGGGGATTCTTTCGTTAAATGCTATCCAACTTCTTTGAATGAACTTGTGGATCCACTGACAAGGAAATTAAACCACACATTAAAGATCTTTTATAACAACATCCCTTTAAGAATAGTTCATGATCTACATGATAATTTGTTTATTGATAATTGCTTGCAATCGTTCGAATGCTTCAATTTGATTGAATTCCATTCATATACATTGAATATTTATCATCCCTGAGTTTCATGCGGTCTTTTGATTCAAGTCAAGTTCAAATCAACTTCTTTGTGGTTCAAATGTCTACAAATTTGGTTGCAAATTCAAGTCTAAGTCCCCAGCTGTCCATGTGTGTTCAATTTTGAGTTCAATTCGAGTTCACTTGTTGTCCAAATTGTAAGTTCACTTGAGTTCAAATCAAGTCCTTTGCATGAGTTCAAGTTCCAATGTCATTTCTTTGACGTTCATTTGATTAAGTTTGATTTTAAGCTTGATTTTATCTCAAATTGTGCCCAAGTTAAGTTCATTTGATGTCCAAATAAAATCCACTGTTTGTTCTAAGTCCTTTTTGGATAAATTTCAGCAGCCTCCCGACATCTCCCCTGTTTAGGGGAAAAACCAAGAGACCGCCTACCCGCCACGTCAATAAAGATGTGCATGGTTGGTGTTTGTGAGACACCGTGGCCATGATTTTTTTTTGTCATCCACCACGCCAATAAAGGCATGCATGGGTCTTTGACGGTAACGGTTTAAAAAGACAGTTTGCTTTCCCCATGCTCGGGGGTACTTATGACTTACCCCGCCTCGCAGTAGGTGCCGCACCGGGGTCCCATCCCACCGAGCGTAATAAAGGCGTGCATAGACAGTTTTCAGGTCCGCCATGAACATTGAAGTAGGGTTTTGAGTTTTGGAGAGTTCATACCTTCGCGGGGTTGTTGGCGACGTCGGCACGTAGATTGAGGCATGAGGAGCGTTCTTGCATTTGCATTTCCTTTCTTCTTTTTAATTATAATTAATTATATAGATTAATAAATAATTACAATTAATTATAATTAATAAAAATCATAATTAATTATAATAAAATAATGACTAATTTAAATTAAAATAATTAATTATAATTAGTTTTAAGTAATTATAGTTAATTATTAGCAATGTAATTAACTATAATTATAATAAGAAACTAATTATAATTTATTTTAATTTAAAACAAATCATTATTAATAATAATTAAAAATAATTAGAATACTTAATTATAATTAATTAGATGTAATTAAATAATAATTATAATAATCAATTATAATTAAAAAAATAATTTTTAATAAAAAAGACATGACTTGTACAGGATTTAACTCTCTCAAACAACTTGACCGAAGAAGCACACGAATAGGAAATAGTCACCTTCACAGCAAAACTCCAGTCACTACTTCCAATTGGAGAGGACGGACAAGCATCAGGCAAGGTTAAAAGCTTTGTGTGAAGTCGAGAGGGAGAGGTGATGGCTTAGGGTTTGGCTACAGGTGCTAGGTCGGCGGGACAGAGGAAGAAGGATGGGGCTTCGAGAGTTCTGGTCGGAGGTTCTGTCACAAGAGCAGGAGGAGGTCGGGCGTGAGTTTTTTCGGTCGGAGATGAGAGAGGAGGCGGGGTCAGCCTTCGGTTACAGGTAGGGTAGAGAAAAGTTCTTCCTCTCTCTTTCTCTCTCTCTCGACAAAGGTAGAGGCTAACAGGTTGAGGGTTAGGATCGGAGGTTGCGACTGGATGAGAATCGGGTAGAGCAGCGGGAT